GAAGAATATATTTATACCTCCAATCTCCTCCAAAAACACCACACCCCCATTTACCACTAATAAATGGAATTAAATGATCTTCTTCAGATAAACATTCAACACCACTAAAAATTTTATTTAATTCACGAAGAGTTTGTTGTTCATTGTATTGTTCTTTTGGATTAATATAAGCGACAAGAGCATCTAATGCTACAATATTATTAGAAGTTAAGTGTTCAAATTCTTTGTTAAATTGAATGCCTCTCCCATAACCTTTAATTTTAACATAACGAATAATATTTTTAAATAAAATAGTTGTTTGATCATCCATAACTGGATTAGTTATCATACTAATAAACATTTCAGGACATTCCATAAACATAATTTCTTCTTGAACACATCCACCATGAAGTACACCTCCTCCAATATATTTATTAGCAAAATCAGCTTTAAGATTTTCTGTTTCATTAATTTCCATAATTCCATGAATATTATCAACATCTCCTGGAATAATTTTCTTATTAGAATTTAATAATTCTTTCAATGAAAGTTTGGATGAATGTCTTTCAATTTCAATTATTTCATTCATAAGTTTATCATTAGTAATTTCTTTAAAAATTAAATGAAAGTAATGAATAATACATTGAGTCATGGTTATTGATACTGAATCTTCACGAAATAAGAAAAATGGAAATTGTGCATATTCATTAAATTTTCTTGAATCTTTACGTAATTTCAATGAATATAAACCAAATAACATACATGAAATTAAACATAAACTTTGTTTTCTTGTAAACATTACTTTACCTGTTTTATATAAAATTACAGGTGGTGGTAAAAGTATATTTTGATGATTAATAATCATTTCTTTACATAAAGGAATTAATTCATTTTGTATAATACTTTTTTCATTTTCATTTAAGTTTTTAAATGATGGAAGTTCTTTAATAGTAATTTCTTTTTCTCTTTTATCTTTTTCATTTGTAAACATAGATGCCATATATTTTTGTAAATCTTCTATTGTTTTTATATTTCCTATTGCTCTTTCTAAGTATTTCCATTCTGATAAATAACATGGTAAATCAATTGTCATCCTTGGTTGTTTTGGTATTTGATAATCTTCTAATTTAAATGGATATGAATGCTGAAATGGACAATCTTTTGAAATACAAAATTGGTCAAATTGACATAGTGTTGTTGTCATGAAATTAGTTTACGTTATTCTTCATTTAAAGTTTTGTTTATGTAATTAAATTATATGACGTTATTTATAACTATAATTATTATTATTATGTATTATTATAAATTTAATTTATATTGAATTATTAATTCATTATTATTAAGTTTATCATTATGATTTATTATTTATAATTATTATTCAATTCTGTTTTTATTGAATCAATCCTAAATATGAAGATACATCATATTAAGAAATATGAAACTAACAATATTTTTTCTTCATATAAAATAAAACCAATCTTTGTTATTTCATTTTGATGTCAAACCAAATAACTGATGACCCTTTTAATCTTCAAAGATTTATTGATGGACAAGAGACTGGTTTTACTCCACAGTATCATGCCCAAACATTTTCTACTGCTTTAAAAGAAGTAAAAAATGGGAAAAAAGTAACACATTGGATATGGTATGTATTTCCTGTTATACAAGGATTATGGGGAGGAAGAAATAATGACTTATATAACATTCAGACACTAGATGAAGCAAAGGCATATTTAAAACATCCAATACTGTCATCCAGACTGAGAGATATAACTATTGCATTACTTAATCAAAAACATACACTTTATCCAATTAATATTTTTGGATATAAAGATGTTCATAAAGTTTTATCGTGTATGACATTATTTTATTATGTCTCAAAAGATAAATTATTTAAAGATGTTATTGATAAGTATTATAAAGGTAAGTTTCATCAAGAGACATTAACTATTCTTGAACATCTTTCTATTTTATAAAACTTATTTCTTTTTAATTGTTAAAGAATCATTTAATTTTATAAAATAATACTCTGTTTTGTTTTTTATTATTTACTTTATTCTTATTCAAAAATAATTGAAATGATTTTAAATTATACAATTGATTTATCTTGTAATTTTAAACAAACTTCAATTTTATCTCATTAATTTATATTTAAATATTTGTCAGTTATTATGATTCTAAAGTTAAACTTTATAAATATAATACATATATTAAAATAAATCCAAGTTTTGATTCAACCATTATATTCTGCTCATAATGTTACTATTCATTAGAAAACATATTATGTAATATTGCAAGAGTAGCAGTGCTTGATTATTAAGAATTATGGAATATCATTTACTATAATAAAAGAGTGTGCAGCTATAAAGACGATACAAGTATATTTGGTAATGAATTGTAGGAGTTATCAAGAAAAAGGAACTACATGTTATTATTAAGAATAAAAGTAGTCATAATAGTATTAATGGTAAGGATATGTTTTTTTCATCATAAAACAACGTTATAAAGAAAGGTGATATAGTTACTTAAATGGAGAATAATTAAGTTGATGAAATTTGAAAGAATTTCAGTTCAAAAGAAATAAAGTATATTGAAGAAACTGATTTGTTCATTTCTCAACAAGATGAAAATCTAGTTAATATGTAAATAATCATAAATTAACTTATTTTATTTCTAACTTTGTTTGATGATTATTTTTTTAAAAAAAAAAAGAAAAACTTAAAATAAAAAACTTAAAACAAAAAACTTAAAACAAAAAATTATATTTTTTAAACAAAGAATGATTTCTCTACTTCTTATTTTTTCACTTTGTACATTCGCTTATCTTGAAATTAGTGATGAAACTAATTTCGAGTTGTTCTTGATGGATATGGAAGATGAAGGACCTTATAACTATAATAAGGCAAAAAGTGAGATTCAAAAATTATCAAAAACAGCAAGTCAATTCATAAAAAGTGCTCGTAAAATGGCTTCAAAGAATTCTTCAAGTGCTCGTAAAATGATTAATGATGCACATAAGCATAAAGGTTCTCAAGGAATTAAAGGATAATTTATTTTCATTGTTATTATTTTATTTTTTTTTTAATGAAAAAAATTACAGTTAATTAATAAAATAAGAGTTATACTTATACGATGTTACAAACTATGCTTTAAAGTTAAAATAAATGAATAATCATATGATATATATAACATGGTTATAAACATGAAAACTATAGTATTAGGAATGCCTTTTAAAATAGTTGGTTCATGAGAAAATTTAAAGGTTGATGATTTAAATTATATTAAATGGTAAAAATATTTTGGATTTATATGTTTTCACTAGAAGTTAAATCAATAGAAAAATACTATCAATAAAGTTATATTCAAATTTCATAAATAATTTTTATAAGAAATAAATTTTATTAACATCTATAAAATAAATAAAAGTTTGAAATATAGCAGTTCATAATAATCATGAAGATAGAGAGTATTAAATAAAATAACTAAAACAAATGTGTTGATATGAAAATAAATGCTAAAATAATGATTTCTTTTTATAATCTCCAATTATAACTTTAATAGAGTA